ACAGATGTGCTATTTCAGGTTTCAGAAGTGAAACAAAAATATCAATTATTATTTACATTTCTTTAAAAAATGTAAGGAAGATTGTAGTAAGCTGTAATATGTCAAAACACAATCATGTAAATCAATATTTAAATTAGAATGTCTCCACTTTCTGTCTTTATACTAGAGTCGTCTTAATATGGTGGCACATAGTTTTTTTTAGGGAACTCAGTTGGGACAGTTGGCCAGTTTTAAACATTTTAAAAAATTGCAACTTACAATTCTTGCAAAGACCTTGTCGCACTTATTTGCTTTTGTCTTGGCTGTGTTCTAGTGTCTTTGTGTCTGTTATTTAATGCTTAAAGAAAAGCAAATGTGTCTATTTTACGATCATCTAGGAGAGTATGTGTTTTATCCTTTACAGAAATCTAAATATTGTCATATAATACAGCAGATCATCATTTAACCAGATTTGACCGTAACATTAATGCAGTCAAACACTGTAGAGACATTTGACAACACGTTACATCACAGTTGGATCATAACTCTGAGTAGGAGCATATTAAGCTCCTGGGGCCCAGACAGAGGACACTTAATGACATTTAGGTCATTAAATCCAAAGACTAATTGCGTTATTTGAATTTAGGGGTCTTTAAATTTCAGGCAAAGGGTCAATGATGGTCAAGGACCGTACTGTGAACATTAGATTTGTTTAAGAGTGTGCTTTAGGTATAAATATACCTGGTTATGTTGTATTCAATACTGAGCTATACAGATAATATAATATTATTTTAACAGCACAGAGCATTGGTGTTCAGTACCATAGTATAGTAGTAGTACAGCGATGCTCTTAACCTCAAGGTTCAAGGTAAAACTCAGTGTAAGTATTTTTAAAAATGTAATTTTAGAGCTGGTATTTGTGAACGTAAGCTGGCGAAACGGGACTTACTTTACATTTAAAGTACAAAGAACTGGACTGAGAAATAGTGTGCTGTGTAAACAGAGATGCACAGGGTGGAACAAATTAGGATGTTGCTCGCATCATTTTGGAGGAGACCGTCTTTGAAAGCTCTCTGGACAGATTTACAAGTTCAGCAGCTGGATTTTAATTTCACAGTTTGCTCTCAGACTGTTCTACTTTCCTAGATTTCTAATCCATCTCATGAATTTGCCCTTTAGTTTATTTATGCCATTTATTTTTGTTAATCAAACAGCAGACATCTGTGAACCTGCGTGTGACAAATATTTAAAAAAAAACACATCACACATGTGCAGGCCTGCAGGTAATATTAATATATAATGAGACTATTATAGATGTTAATCCTGTCCGTTGTTGATGGAGTGAGTCAGTGAGTTATCCTGACTATGGAACGCAGCTACAGATGAACAGTGTTTGCCTTTTGGCGATCAATTTGTTGAGAGAGCGTCTACGCACTTTGCCGTAAATTGATGCTGCTTAATTGGCTTATCGGGAGTTGTTGTGCGGCTGGCGGACTGACGTCACCCCCCCCATGTGCGACGTACTCCCGTCCAGTGAGAACAGAGCGGAGCAGACCGAGCTTCTGCTGGGGGTTTTTTTGGCTGCGCTCCTGCAGAACGCAGTGGATTCTCGCAGCTCTTGAGGAATGTACTGATGCGCACTGCTCGGCTGGGGGACTGTGGCGTGCGCTCACACTTGAAAAATGTGGCTTTTTCTTGACGTTGAACTAGTTTGCTTTTTCGCTGTGTAAAGTTTAGGCAAACACATGGGAGCAGGGTGAGTAGGAAAAACGTTCCACAACTCCGGTCGTGCGTTTTGCGCGCTGCGCCCTCAAGCTGCTGGACTCTTTAAGGGACTGGGACTTGACTTTGTAGGATCTACGGGACGGACCGTTACTTCAGCTACAGTCATTTGCAGGAGAAGTGGATCTGTTTGACAATGATGTCCCCTTAAATCTTGCATTTCATCCACGGAAAACAGCATACACAATTGCGCCATGATTCTATCTGTGGTCATTGTACTGTCCTTCCTGGGTAAGTAGATATTGATATTATTTTATATATATATATATATATATATATATAAAATGTCATAACAGTTCCTGCATATTTGCACTCCAACTTTAAGCGCTGCAAACTGTTTTTTAGACATTTAAGTATACATGTTTTTTTTTAATATGCCAAGAAGAAAAAAAAAACATCCCAAGTGTGATAGTAATGACCAAGTGACTAGAAGATGACTGTGTGAGGGGCAGTAAGAATCCCAGTCTGACCCCATGACTTCCCTTTTGTGACCCCAGACTCAGTGCTCACCGTAAAAAGTGAGGGAAGTGCAGGCTCCCGGTCAGTGCGCCTGGACTGCGTAAAGGCAAGTGAGCAGTGTCTCAAGGAGTACTCCTGCAGCACCAAGTACCGGACCATGAGGCAGTGTGTGGCGGGCAGGGAGAGCAGCTTTAGTGCGGTCACCGGAGCGGAAGCACAGGGCGAGTGCCGCAGCGCCATAGATGCCATGAAGCAGAGCCCCCTGTACAACTGTAGGTGCAGGAGAGGCATGAAGAAGGAGAAGAACTGTCTGCGCATCTTCTGGAGTATATTCCAGAGCTTGCAGGGTATGCAATCACTTAGTTTGTAGAAAATACTCCTAACGTACGCCAAGATGCACAAAGGGAAAAGTAAACGTGGCCGAAATGTGACCAGTAAGGTGATGCAGCTAATATATGTTTGTGAGTTAAATGTAAATATGTATGATTGAGGAAAGAAAAACAAACATTAAAAAAGATTCCTCCCAGTGTATATGGTTAATATATTGACAACACTGTCTAAATTATTTGCAATTTATAGAAAAAAAAAATTCTTTGAAAATATTAAAGCATGTTAAAGTTAAACATCAGTGTCCAAAAAGTCATTTAAAGACAACACATACTTTTACACAATGTCCTCAAATAATTGCCCCACCACTGTAAGTGCAGTCTTAAAAGGTATTGAACCATTTCCAGCGCTGACCTTAATCTGTCTGACCCTGTGCTGAGAACAGGTCTGAAAACTGCAGACTCATTCTTCCTGAAAACATGTTATCAATTACCAACAAAAAAACAAAAAAAATGCACCTGTTGCAGATATCGTTCCTGAAAACATGTTATCAATTACCAAAAAAAAATGCACCTGTTGCAGATATCAAGTTTCTGCTGCTGCCAACAGTGAATTTGAACATTTTTATTCTGTGATGTCATCGTTTAAAATCCTACCCCAATATGAGACTTGACAGAATCAACCTGCAGAAGCTCAGCAGCTACAGTATAAGCAGAAAACCTATTGATTTTTCAAGAGTAAGAAAAGTTGCTTTGTTGCAAAATAAATACAGAAATTAATATCAGTTAGAGTTACACCACTGTAATAATGTTACAAACACTAAATTAGATCATCAATAACTCAGGAACCAAATGTTATGCATTTATATTAACAATTGTTCTCTACTCAAAGGTAATGATTTGTTGGAATACTCTCCATATGAACCAGTCAACAGCCGGCTGTCAGACATCTTCCGTCTCGCCCCGATCATAGCCGGTAAGAAACACTTTTCCTCTTGTGAATATTCCTGCAGTTATATTTTGGGCGGCGTTCAAAGTCAAGTTCAGATGCTGCTCCTCCACCAGTCTAAGTCACCAGCACACTGTCCACATCTGTCACTGTGAGACAACGGCGTTTTGCTCTCGCAGTCTGGTTTCAAGCTGCAGCTTTCAACACCCATTATCCATCATAAAAAGCTTTTATCCAGCCACCGTGACCTACCACCACACACAAAGCACAGCCATTCAGTACGCTTCACTTTTGGCTCTCCAAGCGTTAAGAGGGCTGCGTGTTTTCCCACCTCTGTCAGTGCACTAATCCTGGATGAAGCGTTTACAATATGGCCCAATATGCCTGGTAATTTATCATCCTTTTAGCGTAAAGACTGCTGCGTGTACAATGTCTGAGAACTGGGTCTCTGTCTGCTTAGAGCACATGACCTGGTGCTGTTTGTTGGATATGCCAACGTACACAACAAACATTATCTAAACAAACAAACAACACGAAAAGTCACGAGATGCAACCCTTAAAAAATTAGCACTTCATAAATTCCACATCGGCTAAAGTTTATATGCTAACAAAACACCCGTTCGGCTTAGTACAGTCAGCATCTTTGTATTGGTTGCATGACATTCTGTAGAGATGCTGCATCATCACTGATGTCATAGATGGAGCCAATCAGATATTGATCCTTCCCGCATCCATCTTTTTGTTTGTTGACAAAAAAAAAACCCTTTGCTTACACAAGCGAAAACAACTACAAGTCGGACTTTGTAATATGGTTAGTGTGGAAAAAAAAAAAATTAAATGAAATACTTTTTGTCGCAGTAGCAAACCGCTTCGTTTGCAGCAATATATCACAGGGATCACAAACAGAGCAATTTAACATTTATGATACTGAAAATTGGTGTTTTCCATTTAATTTACATGGGGAAATATTCTGGTATAAACACTGGCATTTGAGCTTTTTTTGTTTTACTTTATGGAGTGGTTAACAGAAACCAGTGTATTTGGGTGTGAGAAGGTTCTTGTCTGTCACTTTGCAGTGAAAAGGTTTCTATATATTGTAATAGGATCACTAGTTTAAAAAAAAGGTAAATGCTTGGGTTAAATTTCGGTCACAAATTATCAATCAAGACAATGGGATCGCCCTCAGGATACAAGAAAGGTGCAGTACTTTTATTTAAACATAGGTTTAAAATGTTAACCTGCAGCTAATGTGCTCCGACTCAGGATAAGGAGATCCAGTATTTAGCAGTCTTTCATCCTTGTAGATATCATGTGTTAATGAGAGGAAATGGGTTCATAGACAGAGACGGAGCTGTGTAGTCGGCTTACTGTAAACCGGGCTAAAGAGCCAAAGAGACCTTTAAAAATAAACCACTTACTGTAGTAGATATATGAAATCTTATTGCCATAAGTGACCTCATTCCTGTCTGCAGCTAAGTCTGCCCTCTGGCTAACCGCAGTGAAAAATAAGGCACATGTGAGCCACTATAGAATGAGGGATACTGTATCACCGAGGACCATTACTAGAACCCAGCGCTGAGAACTCTGAATGGCTACTAACTGATGTTAGTTATTACATGTATCAGGTATTCAAAATAGCAATAACTGCAGTATGTACTGTAGTCATACAATTACTACAAAAGTAATTGTAGTGATGTTATGGTTTGTGATGAATGCTAAATGCTCATGTCTGTCAGGAATATAGCATGAATCAAACATGACATTAAATGCTCATGTCTGTCAGGAATATAGTATGAATCAAACATGCTGACTGACTACAGACAGTCTCCACAAGAAAATGTCCATCATGACAGTCAAATCTGAGGCACAAAGATTCTTGTGACCTCACTAACATTTTCCCAGACATGGTAAACATGGAGTGTTGCATCATCTGGGGTAAAAAGTGACCTGACCCATTACAGGATTAGCATCAACACACTGACATTTGTGCCCATCATCATGAGGTTCCCTAAGACACCGTAATGCTGAGACATCGTGTAGATCTAATTTATTCATCACACGACTCTCATTTCAAAACAGAATATTCTGCTTTTCATCCGACTCAATCTCTGACGTCACAATATGAGTTTTAGCAGTCAGACAGAAACAGCGTATCAAGTGTACAGACCTTACTTGCCAGAGGGATTGCAGTGTATTCCGGCAGGGTGAGTGAGGTCAGTTGAAGTAGAAGGCATCAATCATCTGTTTGATGCCACCAGAAGATGAGCACAGAAGGTGTTGTCAACTCATAAAAACGAACCCTCAAACCACAGTGTTGAATTCCTTAAAAAAAAAAAAACACTGCAACAACAGAGGGCGACATCAGGTAACGCTCAAAGTCATTATGAGATGACTGCAAGTTATTAAGTATGCATCTACAGCTTCTTAATGATTTGTTGTTTTGTTTTTGTCATTTTATGCAACTCTATTCCTACCCTCCTGTAAATAAGCTTGTTGTTAATGTTGTGTTTTTAGCAGTACTGTATGAGTAATGGTTACGTCAAGGGAAATTCATCTTAGCAGAAGAAATGTGAATACATAAAGGAATATACTCAGTGATTCAACCTTTACATGTGTTCTCCTTGCGGTAATAATGAAAGCGTTTTTCCAATCATTTTATATAAGTATCCACCTTAAGTGGACTTACAGTTTGTGTTTTTTTAATTTCCCCACTAACTGGTTCCATAGTGTAGCAGTTATCACACCTGACATTATATCCTCGGTTCAAGCCCTAGAGTAGCCATATACTTATTGCTCTTCCCGTGGCGAAATTTGTTTTAATCAAGTTTATTAATGATCCTGATTACATTTTCATATTCAAATGGTGTACTGTCTGGAAAACCACTTACAGATAAGGATTTCTAAATAAGCAAATTCTACTTCAAACTGATTTTTTTCCACACACTTTCAACCATGTCTGTCTAGAAGGCTCAGACCAGTTCATACATTCACATGGGTCTTCCCTCAGACCAGTTCATACATTCACATGGGAACGTCTTCTCTGCGTGCAGATCCCTCTGAAGCTGAACCACCACTGAGCCCAGTGTCCTGCCCCTCTGTCTGTTTTCACCCCAACCTCAGGCTAATCTGCAGAGCAACAGAGTTTATCAACAAGAAATAAAACTTGGCACGATTCCTTCCCAATGCAAAGATCCCAGTAATAATTCAGCGGGTCCACAGCTGCCTGAGGCTAAAGATTAATACTCAGTCATCTTTGTCCTGTGCCTCTGGCAAGGCCTGCCTGTGAACCGCTTAGCTTTAAGCCAACAAGCTCAGCTGAACATCGGCGAAGCCACAACACAACTCTGCCCCTGCACTCTCATCACTGAATCATCCCGAAGCATTTCTTTACATAACTTTTGTTTTGTTCTGGCCCGACTATAACGGCATTTATTGCAACTCAGACAACAACAGGAAGCCACAAAGTTGTGTATCAGCAGTTTCCCTTATAGAATATGACCTGTAATCAAATATTAAACAGTTGTTTTATGCCCTCTGAAGTTAACTTTTACAATATTATAATACGCTCTGGAAAATACACTCCCAGATCACACTATAAAAAAGTTAATCTCCTTGCTTGGATAGAAAACAACAACAACAAAAAGCCCTGAAAAACCATGCTTATAAATTCAGTACATCAGGTGACTTCATCCATTCAGCTTTTAGGCTGGATGGTGTAAATACACAAAAAGATATCTGATATAAATCCAGACACACATTATCAGTAATGTATGTGCACTCACACACACACACACACACACAAGTACAGTAAAGCTACTGAAAGATGAAGGCTGCGTATGACAGGGTGAAAAGTGAAATTACTCACAAAGATGAGTGCACCCAGTGGCTTAGCCGCGACATGTAGGTCGCAGAGAGGATATATGACAATGAGTGATGACACAGCCAATGGCTAATCACGGCTCTGAGATAAGAAAATTCACCAATATGAACTGCAGGTGACGTGGGATAATGGTTTTTCGGTCTGTCGGGAAATCACGTGGTACGAGCCAAACACATCTTGTACCCACGTGCACAAACAAAAAACAGACAATCACTCACACTGCAATACTGTGACACATGCATTAGTGCTGAGGGGAGACACTCATCCAGATGCAAATCATCCAGCCTACGTTGCCGTACATTAGCATTGATGTGCATTTTCAAAATCAAAACAACTACATTCATCTAGGGCTGGGCTTAGGAGCGCATTCTTAATCTGAAATGTTAGGTTCGTTGACGGGGAGCGCAAAGTCACTCTGTTGTTAGTTACGCTAGTTAGTTGCCTGTTGAAGCAATTAAATTGCTTTAAAAATAGTCGCAGTAACACTGCAAAACCTTTATCTCTTCAAACTTTTGTTGTTAATTCAGCAGCGAGAAACTTCACTTGATGGAACAGTTTGTATCATAACATAGGCATGAATGTTGGAGATGCTGGTGAGTTCATGGCTTCACGTACTACACCACGTAACTCCAGGTTGAATGACTGTCTCGAGGATTAAATGGAAGAGGGCAATAGCTGCTGCAGTTAGCTAAGAGCTAAGAGAATTTGCTAATTACCACGGGGCACTTAATAAATGGGTCTTGGGTCTGCCCATAAATACCCAGACACCAGCAGGGCTTTATAGTAATGCTGGCAAAAAGCCTAATAGGTGACAGGGAGCCATGGCGGACATTACTCTGAACTCTGCTGTTGTCTTTTCTGTCGTGGACAATGACAAAAAGGACACCGAGTGGTTTCAGAAGCAGGGGAAGTAATTCCTGTCACGAACGTATGGACAACAATGTTGACCTCTAGTTTCTTTTTAAGAAACTATGAAGCTGAGTGTATAAGTGTGCTGAAGCCTCAAATGTTGTAGGTACATTATTGTAGTAGAGCTTCACTACAATGCTGCAAATTAGTTTTTCCTCCTCAACAACAGTTTCCCCGAGGGACACCACAATTAGACTTGGCTATAAGATTCCCCTTTATCCCTGCCTACCTGTCAGTCCTTCGTGAGCTCCATTGTGTCATCTCGGTAAAGGTCAAAGGGCCAGATTCCTGTGTTTCCTTGCCTGTCGTATACTACTTCTTCTGCAGCAACTACAACGTGGTGGCCTGCCTTCAGGGGTGCAACCTAAGAAGAGAAAATGACATTTGTTTTAAACCAGGGGGGGTTTCATAACTAAATTCCATGTTAGGGTGTATGGTGTTACACACAAATCACCTTTTTGACCTTCATGGCCTGAATAAATCAAGCCGATAAGACAATTCACAGCTTTTCATAAAGAGATAGCAACTCAGAGGTTCATTTTGTTACACCAACTAGTGGTAACTGTGTGGTAATGCACATCTATGGATACAAACACTGTGCTGAATGTATTTCTATCATTTTTTTAGACTCTTTGGAAAGAACTATTGTCATTGTGTGTTAGCTTTGATTATATGCCGTCATACCATTGGCCCAGACGTTACACTCAGCCACTACAAGGTCAAAGCCCTCATTTTTTTTTGGCACTTGACAGATGGGAGTAATGACTTTTATGTGATTAACCCTTGGTTCAAGAATGCATTCAGATTTAATCAGGGTGTGTTCTGTAGTGCGTCAACCAGTACAGTGCACTTCAATTCCAACACACAAAATAAAAACTGAAATGCAGAAATCCTTTCCTCCATGACTGAAATTACAGTTTGTGTTTCTGTGTGAAAATGAGTGGAGAAATGAGGTCTAACAGTCATTTTGCTGGTAACACAGCATTTTCTGTGATTGGAAAGAAAACAAAATATGGCTGAAGTTCATGTAACCTTAGACAGACTAATGGAATCTCCACAGACAGACATTAGACGTTAAGGTGTTGTGTTTTTGTGTCATATTAAAGATGCAGTCGTAAAAAGCCACCCAGATCAACTGAGGTCAGACGGGAAAATGAAGACAACACCCAAAAACATAATAACAGAAACAAAACCTCAACAAACTAAGGAACTAAAACAACAAAATGACTGATCTTAACTCTTTATCAGTGGCTTGGCTGCAGAGGTATGAACAGTACAGGAGTTTGACTTGGACACGGAACACTCCATAAACAGAGAAGACAATGATTGTGGTTCTGGAAACAGCGCAGGCCTCATACTAAGAGGCTTAGTTTAATAAGTCAAGTGACTGTGAAATGATTAAGGCCCAAAACTATTAAAATATTAACCATGATTTAGCCTTTATTCAACCACAACCTCCCTTGAGATTAAATCTATTTTTGCAAGGAAGCAAACACTAAATGCAAATCTGCAAAAGTTCAGATCTCAGTACTGAAGAACTCTGAGGTTAAAATGGTAAGACCCCCATGCTGTGCTTGAAAGACACCTGTTCAGCTGAGAGCACTGTGTGGAAGGATTTTATTTTAGGGGGGGGGGGGGGGCAGATCATGCTGGGCCCAGGTGAGGCTCTGCATGTTATTATTTTTCATGCCTGATCACACGAAAAAAAATATCTTTGATTATTTTGTAATCATGTAAATGTATGATTAGTGGGTTTCAAGTTGATTTTCAGTGGCGCTTTGGCCCAGAGGCAATGTCTCTGTCATTGGTGTGATACCCCAGGGTTCACCTCCTGGGCAAGTTCGAATCCCGGTTAGGGCGGTTGGTACCTTCCAGTGGACTCACCACCCGCAGGAAGGTTTGGTACGGTGCAAAGTGATTTGGGTGGAGACTACTGCCTCCACAACCCGGTAACGGAAAAGCGGATGAAAATGGATGGAAGTTGATTTTCATGGTGGCATTATATTTTTAAGGGGCGGGGGTCACATTCAGGTTCACTGAAGCCTGGCACGTTGTTGAAAATGATATGGAAAATGAATCCCGGCGCAATATCAAACTAAAGAGGAATGAAACACGAGAAGGCATTCTTTCATAGAGTCCATACTGCGCCTTTCTTTTCTCAGCTCAAATTACCGGCAGCTTTTATCCTTTATGACTGAAACAATATAACCAGCGTGAAGCAGGCAATTATGTGCATGATGAAGTTTGTGCACCTCTCCTCTCCTGTAGCCGAGCCTGCGTCTGCAAAGGAGAACAACTGTCTGAACGCCGCCAAAGCCTGTAATCTGAATGACACGTGTAAGAAGTACCGCTCCGCTTACATCAGCCCCTGCACTAGCAGGGTGTCCACGTCTGAGGCGTGCAACAAACGCAAGTGCCACAAGGCTCTACGACAGTTCTTTGACAAGGTAATCAAGTGGGTTTGGTTAGTGAGTCTTTTTTTTTGCAGCTTTTCTGTTTGGAGTTCATCATTATAGCATCAACAAAACAATTTATCAAGCTGTCAAACATTGAGAAGAGAAAGTGTTGTTCTAGTTGAAGTTTACATTAAAGGGACAGTTTACATAGTTTGTTATTTTTTCAAAGTGTAAGAATGATAACGGAGGTTAAAATGACATGGTTTTTTTTTCCCCCAAAATGAAGGTTCCGACTAAGTACAGCTACGGAATGCTGTTCTGCTCCTGTCCAGCGGGGGACCAGGTAGCCTGTGCTGAGCGAAGACGTCAAACTATAGTTCCCGTCTGCTCATACGAAGACAAAGACAAACCAAACTGTCTGTCCCTCCAGAGCACATGCAAGACCAACTATATCTGCAGGTCTGAGAGGAGACACTAACCCTGCTGCAAATTCAAACTCATTCATCATTTTAAACCAGCAGAGACGTTCACATTTTTCATAAACTTGCCCACCGCTTACTAGAAAATGAACAACTTTTTGAATGTTTGTCTCCCCTGTGTTTGTAGGTCAAGACTGGCCGACTTTATCAGCAACTGTCAGCCAGAGACTCGCTCCATCTCTGGCTGTCTGAGAGAAAACTACGCCGACTGTCTCCTGTCCTATACTGGTCTCATAGGTGAGTCACTGCCTTTATGGTAAATGGTAAACCAGTGATTCAGGAGTTAGATTTGTCCTCCATCTGTACCAGGTTTGACACTTTCCCCCAAACCCTGAGCAGGGTTAGGCAGGAGAGAAAGGTGGGGAATGGGTGAGAAAAAAAGAGATTCAACAGGGATTGTCTAGCACTCCAGCAGCAGCGTCACAGCAAACAAGAGTGTAGCGTTGACTAAAGTATTATTTTGACCCTACTAGGTTTCACTTGTCTTCGTGTATCAATTAATCAACATGCGTCATCGTGAATAAAAAGAAAACCAAATGTTGCTCCTCTTTCATCGAACTGTACAGCCAACCGTGACAAATTGAAAACAACAGACAGACAGTTAAATACACGCCTTTCATATTTAACTACAGAGAATCAATCCATTATCAGTAGCTAGGAGGGTGGAAAAATAAACTTTGTTTTTCTGCACTTTTATAAGAAGCAGGTTTTATTTTGTTATATCTAAAAGACAAATCAGATATTTCTTTTTGTTCGGTGAAAGAAGGACATGCACTGCAACCAAACAAAACAAAAAGCTCCCTGATAAACTACAAAAACACTCTCCGAGGCTGCACGGTGCATCAACAGGCTGTTTTGGAATAACCTGCATGTTATGGAACCAACAACAAGATTGGCTATGCCGTATAATTTTGTCAACAAACCGGTTATGCTTTTGACCGTGCTGCAAAAACCAGCCATCTTATCAGGCCAAGGCAGATAGAATTGATTCTTCAGTCCAAATGCTACAAAGACAGAGGCCCATTTGAGAACTACAGTTCTTCAGGATTACTCTCTGGTTTTTTCTTTTTTGCAGGTACCGTCATGACCCCAAATTACATGCGATCTCTTGGTATTAGCCTGTCACCGTGGTGTGACTGCAGCAACAGTGGGAACAGCAAGCCCGACTGTGATAAATTTGCAGAGATGTTCACAGACAACAGATGCCTGCGTGAGTTCTAACTTCAAAGTTTTGGACGAGAAGACGTAATATAAAGCATACTGAGTGCAGCTAGCATTGACAGATATTTTATCGTATTGCATATATACATTTATTTACTTTTAAATTCAATCTTTTATGCAGGTAACGCCATCCAGGCGTTCGGTAACGGCACCGACGTTGGCGTTTGGCAACCGCAGCCCCCGATTGAGGCCACGTCATTGGAGCCGGGTGTCACCCGCAGGGTTAAAGAGCGGACCAGCGGGGTTCTGGACACCAAAACAGACTTGGGCCAACAACCCCTACATGATGTCACTTTGTACCACAGCTGTGGAACCTTACAGGTAAAGTTTTAAAAGGCAAAAAGAAAAACTGCATCATATATAAACATGAACAGAAATGTAGTTTTTACCAAATCTAAGAATTTTTTGAACCCAGTCTCTGTTAGCCTGATTGATCAGTGGTATTTGTGTTTGCAAAAACATTCCTTGTACTGTGTATTTCTCCAATATCCATTGTAAATACTGGTACGTTCTGACCTGTGTACTGCAGTTCACACCCCTCTTCTTTTACTCTGATAAATACTTTAGAGCCACATTTTCAAATGAGATGATATCAGAGGCTCTAAGCTGGACAATCTCTGACTTTGGATTATAACAATGATATGATTTATCGCCGCCAAAAACATTCTCCTGAGGAAAAGACCTCCTATAGAGCAATGAATCATTCCAGCACAATCCTGCCTTATAGAATTGTCTCTACCTGGGGACCAAGGCTGGAGTGTTCCCAGGCCACTGTGGAGTCACTTTATCATCTCCTAGACTCCATCTCTGCATCTGTGTATACCTGCAAATCCATGTGGGGATTTTTATATGTGCTGCTGCAGAGGTTTGGAGGAGATCTGAGTAAAGTTGAAATGCATTAAGCTGGGTGTAACCTTGAGCCTGCACCAACTTTGAAACAAACACTCCTATCTCCTTACAAAGAGATAATTGCAGAATCTAGTTACAGCGTGTCCAACCTGTGGTACTTTGGGGGAATTTAATACATTACCTTTTATTCACTGTGTAAAAAAAGTGTACGTGATATTTTTCCTTGAGCTGAACCGTTTTGTTTTATTGTTTCAACCACAAATGATTAGACTCAATTGTACAAGGCTAAGTCAGTCAGTTTTAAATGCGTCAACTTTTGGTAACAGAAGCAGGTTGTTATATTTCCCAGAATTCTTTAGCTCAGTAACACTCTGGTGGAAGCACGGACGGCAGATGTGTTTGTCCAATAAAAGATTACATCTGTGCTATCTCTCCCTCTCTTCAATTAAGGCCCAGAAGCTGGTGTCAAACCAAACAGTGGACCCGACTGTGTGTGAGGTGAGTCTCATTTTAGAATAAAATATATATTTATATATTTTTACATTTCTCAAGTGAAACAATCTTCAAATAGAACCAATAAGAACCAACTATTTATCTGTAGTATATTTTTGCAAATCTGTGCTTTTTATTTTTGAATCTGTGCCAAATATATTTTATAAGTAAAGAACTGACAGTTTATAATATTTACAAAAATATATGTTATAGATTTTACTCAATGTTATATTTGATAAATTTTATCAGCTGTCATGCCACATATAAGTTAAAGCGAAAAAACATATATATATATATAACTATATGTTTATATATATGTACATTTATATGAACATTTAATTTGGCTCTGACAACAGGTGCAGCACTTGTCGTAGTCAATCTGTCAACTTCCGACTCGCTCTTTTCGTTTCTCCTCAGAAGCATAAACCGGATGATTCCAGCGACTCAAACGCCGTGGCCAGGAGCTCCCCAGCTGAAGTGGCGTGCTTACACCCCTCCAGTATGTTCCTTACGCTCGCTTTCGTTTTGACGCCAATACTTACACCATAAGGTTTCTACGTTTTTTGGTAGATTTTTGGGCTTTTTGGAAAATTGCTCTCATCTCGATCAAATCATTCATCCCACGAACCTTGATTCAGGCTTCTGCTGGAGTGTGAAAGACTTTTTTCTTCGCGAGGAGAACCTTTGGAATTTATCGACTGAGAAAATGGCCCGCTGCAGTGCTTAGCAACGGCAGCAGACCATTTTGCCATTCTTGCGTCACAAGTACGATTTGGATTTGAAAGACTTTCGACCCTGAACTGAACTGTGATCTGGTACCGTGTGATCTGTAAATAAACTTTGCTAACACATTGAGAAATATGGATTGACTGAAATGTGTTGTAAGATGTGGTTGATGTACTGTATCATCCTGTTTCTGAAGAGATAGTTCAGTTTAAGGTTTGAATGAATGAAGTAACAACATGGTGGTCAGTGGTGCTGAACATGTGCCCTGTGTCAGGTCATTAATGCTTGTGGTCAGTGAAGCCATGCAGAAAAGTCAACTTGTAACATCTTTGCCCTCTGACATAACAACACCTCCATGACAGTAAGGTCATCAACGACTAGAAGATTTGTTTTGCCTGAAAAAAAAAAAATAAAAATTATCCTCATTTAAAATGACCCGAGCTACATAATGTATGTGTATCATCTAAGAAAGAATACCAATCACATTGCAGTTGAAACAAAAGCAATTAAATATTCAAATAAAGTGCCAAATAATCGATGTATATCACTCATTCATACTGGTGTAGATATAGGGGAAGTTGCTTCGAGGCCTCAAACTTTAATTTTATATGTGTTCTCTTGCAGTCACTTATATCAAGCTGTGCTACAGACTGAAGCTACACAGGTTTCATTGAAAAACGACTACTTTTGGATAAAAACATAGCACGTCCCAAATGTGTACTGTGTCATGGTACAGCTAAAAAAGTAAAGGGCTAACGCAGATTTGGGCTTTCTATGGAAACTGAAAGCTGCAGTGATTAACTAACCTAAAGTGCTCAGTCATGTCAACAGAACAAATGTTTGTCGTGGAAATGCAACCAATATTTACTACACAGAAAGTCAGACTAACCTAAACAGTTGGGAGTCAGTTTGACAAAAACAAAAGCACCATCAATACTGATGCCAGTCCTGCACCAGGGATAGAACAACCTACAATGTTTTATTTTATTTTACAACCAAGCCGTGTCAGAGTCAACATGGGGGTTCCATTTTATAGCTGTAGACTTTGGCCATAGCCACAAGAGTTTTAAAGGGTGAAAACATTGACTGGGGCCATAGAACAGTCAGCAGAAAGAACATGTCAGGACAACACTATCTTGGAGCAGACTGAACTAGAACTACTGTCCTCAGTTGATAAGAAGGAAACCTAAGTGTATAAAGAAAAGTGTTGCTCTTTCTTCAGTCACCATGTCGTGTACAACAGAACCATGTATATAAAAGAGATCATATTCAGTGAGATGTGTGTGTCAGAGGAAACCTTTGTTGTCCGGTATTGATTAGAGATCAGTGTGTAGACTGGTTTTTATTGCCGTGATGGCCTGTGGTTTTTGTCACGCTGCCTCTGACCGTACATCTTGTACATAAGAAACATGAATCGTGAGCTGCTGTCGGTTTGTGAAAACACCGTCTGTGATCTTTTTGAGAGCACATCATCTAGTGTAGCTGCAGTTTATAACATGTGACAAGAAGGGGTTCCTGACTGCTGTGCTCGCGGACGCAGCTTATTGTGAGTTTATATTTGAAGAGCAAACTGTGCATCAATGTTCATCTCCAAACTGTGTTTTTCCATGTGGAATATTCAAGTGTTTCTGTAACAGCAATGTAAAGACTTTACAAAAAGAGCGTTAATAATTAAAAAGGGACAATTGTGGTTTTGGTTTCCACTATTTATTCCCCCCCATAAATGATATCTTGGATTGAGTGAGAAGTCGGGAACTTGTTAGAATGATGCGTGTACGTACACAGGATTAGAGCTGTGCCAGAAGACAAACAGCAGTCCACATCAGCAGAAAGCAATTAACCACTGACGCAAGTGTGGGAAAAAAAAATCAGCGCTCAGTTATTACAGACTAGAGACACCATAATTATCTGAGGCACAATGACAATGAATGGCAACAACTTGTTTCTTAACGTATTTACTGTCTGCTTACTGACCCCTGTAGAGATGAATGGCAACAACTTGTTTCTTAACGTGTTTACTGTCTGCTAACTGACCCCTGTAGAGATCTTTAACTAAATGTACTTCTTTTTTTGATCCGGTCTTAGACTTCATCACAAAGAGATGGTAAAAATACACTATGCAAATTACATGCATTCACTTTTACTTCAATTTACAAATAACTAAAAGGAAAAATTGCCTTAATGTTAAGGGTGTGCAGAGCTACAGAAATGAGAAAAGGTGAAGTTTCTCAGGTGGGTTTGTGCCATTTTAACTGGACAATTTTAAGTGATACCATTTATTTGTTTATCTGCCATTTAAGCAGGGAGCACTGCTGTAAAAGCGGATTTGAAGATGGCACCTGGCACTGGAGACAGAGGGCTATTGTCAGTCAGCTCACATCAGTCCCGGAGCAAAATGACACAAGCAGACAAGGACACTGCCCACAGAGGACAAACTGTTTTGGCACAGCGAATACTTGACCTAGACACGGAGACAAAGATTTATTACCTGTGTTATTAAACCACAAAAAAGGGACAGAATACCCACAGAGATGGAAATGACATCCGTATATCCTCACTGTTCAAACCAAGGCACTGGCATGTACTCGTTTAAACCACTAATCTTTTCAATCATGTTGATACTGAACCATGTAGCAAATACTTCAAAAGCCTACACATTAATACTATAACAGACGGGTAATGATTTCTCCTAGCAAAATGTATACAAACTGAAACTTATCTTAGACTTGAAATGATGAAAATATCTGATTTCTCCTAGCAAAATGTATACAAAGTGAAACTTATCTTAGACTTAGATGAAAATATTGCTACACAACTAACCCTTTCTAAAACTCAGTATTTGTAGAAAATAACAAATTATCACAATGAGTTATTTCTTTCAACACCAACAAGGAGACATTGTTGTGCAGACCTGTGTGCAGAACAAAATCCAGACATACAGTATTTTAGGATTTAAGGCCTTGCTTTGTGATATAAATGGATAAAGCTAGCCCCAGTCAAAAACAAGTTTCAAAAGCAAAGGTAATTTCCTACCTACAGGGGGTGCTGTGAATGTGGCTGCAATGCCTCATTTAATCATTTTAAAGCAACTGATCAATATTGTTTCACACAAATGTAACCTTGTTTGTCTAATCCTAGAAATTCAACTCCTACTGCCAAGAGAACATACAAAACACGGATTTTATCACTGAAAAATGGCAAGAAAGACTGTTCCGTTGCAGATGCATGCCTGCTAAAAGGATTAATACTTAATTATTTTAATAGAAATGTAAACATTTTCTACAATAATTGGGTAGAAATAGTTTTTATTTTTAAGGGAAAGCTTCAAAAAAGATCACTATGGACTATGTGATCTTTTAGACTATGGACAGTTCCAGGTTGACTATCAATGCTTGCTTATATGTGCAAGATACATGAAGACTGCAGCCTCCAGTAAAGAGCACTGGTGGTTGTCATTAGACATTTTTTCAGCTATGAAACCTCTAGGGTCAATGATAACATTTTCAAACTCCACCTCCCACAAGCTAAGACCATAGCATCTCTACTAATCCCACACTCCCACCCTGGGCAGAGAAAAAACAAAAGAATAGTGATTAAAAAAAAAAAAAAAAAAGTTCAATCACAACAGCACTGCCTGGCAGGGATCATATTTAATTACTGCGTCTTTGACCTCTGCAGCAACATTGTTTCAGCGCATGTTGGAAAAGAACAGTTTTGGATTTACTCTTTACCCGGGGGGGAAAGCAACAGTTTTACTTTATAATGTTTCTTTTAGGTTGTTGTTGTTTGGCACAAAATGTCAGTAAACACTTCATGGCGTCGGTAACTTTGAGATGTTTTCCCTCATATCTTCTCCAGAGTAACACAGCCGCCAAAAGAGATAAGATAATAATTTAAGGTCCTAGACTGCACACAGAAGATTAAACTATAATCTGGTAAAATAAATAAATATATATATAAAACAATTGGAATGATGGCAAGATGTAGAAAAGTTTTGACTGTCTGAATCTGCCTTCCAGACAGACAGATGATGGTTTGAAAACTCCAAGATAAGGCCAGGAGCATGACCTTTTATTGTTCAGACTGTAAACAACTGGATGGATTAAAAAGTCAGAATAGTAGTACAGAAAAAAATGAATGAAATAGTTGTTGATCGAAAGTTTTACAAAATGTATACTAATAGTGAGACAAAAACTGCTAAGATGCAAATAATGTTAACTTGTCTTATTTTAGTCTGTACCTTCATACGTTGATGCCAACTCATATATAAAAATAATAATAATAATAAATAAACTGATATTTTCCATATTCAAATATTTTATGAAGCTCACAGTGACAATTGTTTTTGTGTGTGTGTGTGTGTGTGTATTTCAAAAATGAAACCAAGACAAGCCATGCACAGACAGTTCAGCACCTTGGAGAGCGTCATTTCTTCTTAAGAGTCAACATGGATCCAACATCAGATCAGATGTTAATGCTCAATGATCAGATGCTACTCAACGTGCTTACAGTTTACTGGATGAGTCTCACTAAGTGACAAAAATCAATGCTTTCTTAGCAGACCTGTTTAGTCAGAGTGAACACTCACTTTTTTGTTTTTTTGTTTCCAGACTAGTTCAGCTACATGTTTTTACAATGGAATCAATCATGGGGTTAAAAAAGTCAAAGTATTCCAATTGCATCAGCAGCAGTCAAAATAAAGCATTTCCAATTGCATCAGCAGCAGTCAAAATGAAGCATAAAGTACTTCTCAAATGTCAAAATACACATTACGTGAAATGCCCATCTGTCTATAAAGACATGAACACAATGAAGCTACAATGACAGCATTTCATGGCCTGTTACTAGGTGTTAGTAGACAAATATGATTTAAAAAAAACCATAGATACTGACATATACTAGTATACCTGACACATACAGACAGATACTAGTCATGGTATGGATAACAAATATCAAATATCAAAAAAATATTACATACCCTCAAGGCACTGTCCTGTTCTACTACAACTACTTACATAAATAAACACATTCGTAGGGTACTTCGGTGAATTGTGAATATAAATAAATAAATAGAGAGTTAAAATGTATTATTTGCCAGGAGAAATGTTGAATATTTATTAAATGTCTGTAATTGCACTCATGATATTTGCCTTTTCTTGATACATTACATTTTGCTAATATTCATATAAAACTTACATTTTAACCATAGCATTACAAATGTATTGGTTGTGAGATAATTTTATACGTCAAGTTACTATAAGTTCATTATGAACAGTGTTAGCTTTTGTTTGTTTGTTTGTTGGTTGGTTTGTTTGTTTGTTTTTTGAGTAGTGGACATATTCTGTAAATGCCATTTTGTATTATATACAGCGTGTTCACTATGACTATTGCGACTCTTATTAACGCATGTAGTACGTAATTGTGTCCTAAACGTCACCATTATGCGAACAACATATAAATAAATAAATAAATCATTTTTAAAAAAAAAAAAATACGTAAAATAAAGTTTTGTCTTGCCTTAAGCAAATGAAGGAGCGGGAGCAGCACCAGCAGCAGAACGTCGAGGTCCGTTTGTAAACGCGTTTGGTTCCAGTAAAGCAAACAACCCCGTTAAAAACAAGTAACACGTGTTTCCATTTTCCCTAATTAGACGTATGCGCTACAGCCGTTTAAATCACGTGGCGGGAGCTGCGACGTACGTACGACGTCAGGAATTTAATACGGCAAGATAGATTAAATCCCCATTACACAGTCACGAGCTCTGTACAGGGTTTATCGAAGCTGGTTAAAATAAAAAGACGTTCATTTTTCTACCCCACTTTCCAGGGATATAATGGCATGTAGTCACGTACACAAAATACATAAATACAGCCTTTTGGAGTAATTCAAATCAGGTTTTATAAATATTTTTTTTATAAATATTAGTCTTATAAATATATAGTCATCTTGGTCTGTTCTTTAAAATGTATAGGTTATTAATGTTGTAACCACATCACCTGGAAAAAAAATTTTTTTTTTTTTCACTTGAGCCCAGTAATGTGAATATAATCAAAGTCACCTGTGACATACACAGCTGCCACAGAAGGAAGTATGTAAATTTATATGGGCACGTTTTAAACCTGACTGCCCTGATGTGATCTACCCTATCTATTCATCCATTCATATATATATATATATATATATATATGAGTGAATAAACACAGATCAAACAGGCTGCCATTCAAAGTGTGCCCTTCATCCTGGAGTGATTTAAAAGCAACATGTTTACAGCACATGACTGTGAAAACACATCAGAGAGAGCGTATCTTCCTCGTGTGCGCGTGCATTAGTCACGTGCACTTCATATTAGCTGACATTAATGGGTTTATCTGTGCAGGTCTCCCAGCATAAACAGCATCATTATGACATTCCCACATGGTGAGTGCTCACCGCTTCGGGCGATGCAGGCGTTTGATGCAACACTGCCTACAGCCGATAAACATGTGTTCAAGTGGGGGAGTGTGTAAGTGCGCGCTGTACATACAAGCATTTGAAACACGTACATAAAAATAAGTTTCACCTTTACAGTACTCCGGAAGGTAACACATAAATAATACAAGCCTGGAACTAATTTTGTAGCCAAAGGTCTTGGGAAGAGCAGTGATATATCTGTAATATGTGTCGCTCCAAAGGCTCAGCAGGCGCTGGGTTTTGCAGCATTTTTGGTCACTTTTAGGTAATATCAAAGAGATCCTGAAATCCACAGAGGACGACTCCTTGCAGCTCGAGGACACAGAGTGGAGACTTGATCATACATTATTATTGAACATCACTGACACATTTGAACTGTGAGCTGCAAGGCAAAGCTGAGACTGGAGGTAGTGCATAAAAATTGGGGGGGGGGAGGGACAGAATTAAACAGGAGTAAACATTTAAAAAAACAATTTTTTTAAAAAAAATATCAGGCTTTACTCCACGCAGCATCTGTGGATTTTGATGAACTTACTGTGAAAAAATATATTCTAAATCATTTCATGCAGGTGAACATGATGTGTGCTGCTCAGCAACTAAGTGCAACAATCATTTTGAAAGCAGGACAGGCAAAGATTGCAATCGTAACATTGCCAATTACTACTTCTCCTCAACACTTCCAAACCATCTCCACCTCAACTCTATCACTTTATCTCCCTCTGATCTGCTCATGTCTGATCCTGTCCATCCTGGTCACTCCTTAGTAAGAATCTCGGCATCTTCATCCTGCACCACCCTCACATAGGTCTCTGCCGCTCCTCTGTCTTAAACAGTGCCATAGTATCTCCTCTGCAGCCCCATCATACTCTCTCATGAAGGCACAATAAAACCCCTTCTGAAAATCACTGGATGTTTGATTCACTATGATACACTACACAGGACCAAACATCATCTGTTCAAGGTCACTGTGTCCTAATGTGCTACATCTGCTAAAATGTGCCACGATTGTACACCTTGCGTACAGAACAGTGTATAAAACCTACAGTACCATCTCATGTGTCAAAACGCTGTCAGCCAACAGAGATGTTTCTGTACTGATCATCAGATTTAGAGACAAGCTCCAGCACATACTGTTCAGGTTGCTGTTTAACCTTCTACTAAACTTTCAAAAAACATAAAAGCAGGTGTAGAAAAATATCAGAATATTTGTTCATTCGACATTTTGAATACAACTTCAGAAAATTCTCTTTATATTTAATTGATTTTTTTTTTGGCCTTTGACATTTAGGCAAACGCGACTCCAATCTTTCTATTCAACCACGAATGAAAATCCTTTCATTTTCATGAAATGATTTCACCTCTGGAGGCTGCTTCTTTCCTGCATCAACTTGAAAATGTTATTAGCTGAGGAACCCAATCAATGCTGTAAGAAACGACACATACAGTAAGATGTTTAAGGCTTAGTCAAACCGGAGAAGAGTCGGGTTCAATAAAGCAATAGTTTTCAGGTGAGTTTCTGTGTTTTTATTCTTTTCTGACATGTTGTTCATCTTTAAAATACACTGATGATTACCAGTCTGTTGTTTGTCATCTTTTTCACGTTACAATGGGACCCTGATTTTTGGTGTAATGACACTGTTATAGTATTACTCTACAATCACAAAATGAAAACACAAAAACTGGCATACCATCTTAAGGAAAGGCATCGTAATGACCTCAACGGAAAAACAAGACAATGCCCATTGAAGATGCACGATTCAAAGGGAGCCGCCGTTGAAACGATGGGTTGACATCAATGATAAAATCAGGTTAAATGCACCTCTTACACAGGAATCAGTTAAATATCAAAACAAACAACAACGACAAAAAATGCTTTTATTTTCTCCACAAGTGTAACAAAAGTTGTTTTGGTTGTTTTTTTTTAACAGTATATTTGAACCAGACGACAAGGCATAAAATAAACGATCTCTTGTTGTTGTGTTTCTTGAAAAACCTGACTAACACGAAATTCGCAAGAGAGAGGAGTTACAAAGACTCACATTTGTTCCGACGAGACGCTGTACAGCTCAGGATGAAGGCGGGACTAATGAGGGTTGACTGCTTATTAGAAAAAAGAAAAAAAAATCTGCACATCAACCCGTCCCCCACCATCATGGTCCATTGAAAGCGAAGACATTATAAAAAAGGGCATCGTAGGTTTGTGTACTAAGTGGGTAAAAAAAACAAAAAAAAGGAACAACCAGAGGAGCTAGACGTCCCTGGTCTAATTTAATCAAGCTTCGTCGTCTTTCTCCCAGCCGGCCACTTCCATCCAAGGACGGGCTCAAAAGCTTATAATGTCCAAGCAGCACAGCAAATATCACAAATACAAAAGTACAGTAACGAAGTGAGCAGAACTTCTGTGTTTCACTGCCTTTTAGAACTCCTTTCACAGCGACTACACCGGGCGTGCTGGGTGGGGGTGGAGGGGGGTGAGGGGGGCATCTAACTTTTCTGAAGTTTCCCATGCTTTTACTGTGACAAATGCTGATCTGTTCACGTGTCACAGTCTGGAAACCCGAGCCTCAGACAGTCCCGGGTCTTTGAAAAGTTTGGACACGTATTCCACAGGAAATACAGAATTTAGCTTCAGCTGGGTAAGTGATGACGTATGTACAGAAAAGTCAAAGAGAGAGAGCAAGTAAATGGTTTAGCACCATAGATAATCACCTGTTGACAAGCAAAAACTAAGACAAAGAGGACAACAGGCAGCAGATTCTGTGGATTTATCAGCATTTTGCTTTTGCTTTTTTTTCCCAACAAGGTGTGAGGTAAATGTCACTTCAAACACCTTCGCTTTTCCTTCATGTGCCCAAATATTTACGACCAAAGCTTCATCCTCTAATTATTGTGTCTCTCCTAATGTCACTGGTCGGGCAGGTTGGCTCCTGGCGCAGTAATGAGGACAGAAGTTAGAGCCCGGTGGGCGGAGGAGGCTGCTGCTGCTGCTGCAGGAAGATTTATTAGGCTGACATATGCAGAATAGAGCAACAGGGCAGGAAGGTGGCCGAGGTTGTGCTCTTGGGACATTAAAACTTCACTGGTAGCAGCAGAGTGACATCTCCTACGGCAGGTCATCTCTTGTCTCTAAAGGTTTCCATCCAGGACCTGGGATGACCTGGTGCGGTGCGGTGCAGTGCGGTGCGGTGCCTCAGACGGTGCAAATGAGGAATTGGAATGACACGTTGATACCTAAACGCAGGTGCCCTGGTGCACGGGGGGCAGGGCTTTTCGATTCTTCAGAGCGTGGGACTTGTCCTTAAAGTCTGTGGGTTTCTGTTGTGAAATGTCTATCAGTGCACTGGCAACAATAAGACCTGGGGAAAGCACACAAACAAACAGAAAAACAAACAAACATGACTTAAGCCATTATTTTGACAGCTTCAAATGAAGGTACTTATGGTGTACTAAAAACGTGTAGCCCAACACTGGAGTACCTGACTGTCCTGGTGGAGGTAGGTCTAAGGGCCCGGAGGGCAGACGCATGAGGACAGTCAATACAGCAGCTTTTCCTCCTGAGCATGGCTCGATTGCAACAGGTTTAGGGATACCCTGAGAGGAGAGAGAGAGGCAAAGAAAGAGAGGGAGAGGGAGAGAGGTGTACATATGTTAATGTTCTGTTCAAATGTTACCAAATATCTTACCTAAACCTCAGAGAATTCACAAAAACTCCCCCAAGAATTCCCGTGGTTTTAACTAGTTTAGCAGTTTCACCAGACCAGTGCATGACAGAGGGGAGGAGGGATAACCCTAAAGCAACAACACAGAGGACGTTGGTTCCACAATGACATCACTAATGGCAGCATGAAAAGCCCAGACTTTCTTGCCTGTCAAAGTTTTGCTTCGTGGACTGGGCCTAAAATAAATGTGACAGACACTCTCTCTCTCTCTCTTTTTTTTTGTTTTGTTTTGAGCAGACTCGCGGACATTGATGTTAAGCGCCGCTGTAAAGACGAGACGCCCTCCTCCTGAGATTAGCTTCAGCTGGGTAAGTGATGACGTATGTACAGAAAAGTCAAAGAGAGAGAGCAAGTAAATGGTTTAGCACCATAGATAATCACCTGTTGACAAGCAAAAACTAAGACAAAGAGGACAACAGGCAGCAGATTCTGTGGATTTATCAGCATTTTGCTTTTGCTTTTTTTTCCCAACAAGGTGTGAGGTAAATGTCACTTCAAACACCTTCGCTTTTCCTTCATGTGCCCAAATATTTACGACCAAAGCTTCATCCTCTAATTATTGTGTCTCTCCTAATGTCACTGGTCGGGCAGGTTGGCTCCTGGCGCAGTAATGAGGACAGAAGTTAGAGCCCGGTGGGCGGAGGAGGCTGCTGCTGCTGCTGCAGGAAGATTTATTAGGCTGACATATGCAGAATAGAGCAACAGGGCAGGAAGGTGGCCGAGGTTGTGCTCTTGGGACATTAAAACTTCACTGGTAGCAGCAGAGTGACATCTCCTACGGCAGGTCATCTCTTGTCTCTAAAGGTTTCCATCCAGGACCTGGGATGACCTGGTGCGGTGCGGTGCAGTGCGGTGCGGTGCCTCAGACGGTGCAAATGAGGAATTGGAATGACACGTTGATACCTAAACGCAGGTGCCCTGGTGCACGGGGGGCAGGGCTTTTCGATTCTTCAGAGCGTGGGACTTGTCCTTAAAGTCTGTGGGTTTCTGTTGTGAAATGTCTATCAGTGCACTGGCAACAATAAGACCTGGGGAAAGCACACAAACAAACAGAAAAACAAACAAACATGACTTAAGCCATTATTTTGACAGCTTCAAATGAAGGTACTTATGGTGTACTAAAAACGTGTAGCCCAACACTGGAGTACCTGACTGTCCTGGTGGAGGTAGGTCTAAGGGCCCGGAGGGCAGACGCATGAGGACAGTCAATACAGCAGCTTTTCCTCCTGAGCATGGCTCGATTGCAACAGGTTTAGGGATACCCTGAGAGGAGAGAGAGAGGCAAAGAAAGAGAGGGAGAGGGAGAGAGGTGTACATATGTTAATGTTCTGTTCAAATGTTACCAAATATCTTACCTAAACCTCAGAGAATTCACAAAAACTCCCCCAAGAATTCCCGTGGTTTTAACTAGTTTAGCAGTTTCACCAGACCAGTGCATGACAGAGGGGAGGAGGGATAACCCTAAAGCAACAACACAGAGGACGTTGGTTCCACAATGACATCACTAATGGCAGCATGAAAAGCCCAGACTTTCTTGCCTGTCAAAGTTTTGCTTCGTGGACTGGGCCTAAAAAGAATGTGACAGACACTCTCTCTCTCTCTCTTTTTTTTTGTTTTGTTTTGAGCAGACTCGCGGACATTGATGTTAAGCGCCGCTGTAAAGACGAGACGCCCTCCTCCTGAGACAAATGACTCGATTGGTCACACAACAAAAACACTTGAGTGCATCCCTGTCAGACGATTCCACGTGTCGAGGCGATGACCTAGCCTCGCAGTTAATGGCCAAAACTGTTCGTT